TTTTAAAAAGCAGGGGGAATCTTAGAACAAGATGTTATGTTTCCATCTTGCAAATCCAAGATCTCTCATTCATTTATTTTTCTTCCCAAGAGGAATGCAGTAGAGCAATGTTTCTCAACCTTGGCCGCTTTAAGATGAGTGGACTTCAACTCCCAGAATTCCCCAGCCAACTGAGCTGGCTGTGGAATTCTGGGAATTGAAGTCCACTCATCTTAAAGCGGCCAAGGTTGAGAAACATTGCTCTACTGCATTCCTCTTGGGAAGAAAAATAAATGAATGAGAGATCTTGGATTTGCAAGATGGAAACATAACATCTTGTTCTAAGATTCCCCCTGCTTTTTAAAAAGTGGGAGTCTTTTTTTCTTTAACTTTTTACCTTCCAAAGTTGAATGAACATGGTTAATGATACATATGGCTGGAATAAAGGACTCGTATATTTCCTCCTCCTCCTCTCCTCCTCCTATCTTCTTCTTTCTTCTTTCTATATAAAAATGGCTCTGTGTGTATATGTTCCAGCATAACTCTGGAATGCCTCCAGAAATTTCAACCAAACTTGGTATGCAGATGACTTACTCTCTGGAAACAAATACTGTGGGGATAAGACACCCCTAGCCACCACTACCACCCCGGTGTGTTCTATTAAGATACAACCTGTTGTGCCTTAAAGTGGCTTCTACTGTACTGTACTGTGCTGTACAACAAAGCAAAGCTAGCTGGGGAATTCTGGGAGTTGAAATCTTCCAGGCTTTAAATGCCCAAGGTTGGAGACCCCTGGTTCAGGCAATGCAGCCCTACACTGGAAGAGGCCATGGTTGCGTTCCTTAACGATACCTAGACCAGACAAAAGTCAGAATGGCTACTTTGGGCTCCAATGTATTGGAGGGGGTAGGTGGGAACCCAGCCGTGGTTGTCAGGATGGATGGGGAAATCAACCATTGCCTTCAGCCCTAACCTGGATGATTGGTTTCAACAAAGGGGATTTTTCAAGAGGCAACTAGACTCAACTTCTCAAGTTTCTTGGATGAGAAGCGATGGGGAAATGAAACAACCGCTTCATAAGCACACGGCACAACATAGGAGAACAAACCCATCAGGATAAAGATTCAGCAGTCCACCTGAAATTTAAAAGACACAGGCTGCTCTTTTGAAGGTAGAAGTCCACATTTTGGACAGAGGACCGCTGGTTTGAAAGCGGGGGCAAAGAGGCCATCAATGTCAAAACTGAACAGCCCTCTCTCAACAGGGGGGGGGGGGATATGACCATCTATCTCCTGGTCTGCAACCTAGTCCTTTCAAGCAGTTCCAAGAAGGCTCCACACCCATTTGCACCCTAACGACACAGATAAATCCCCAGGTGATCTTAACGACTCGCTAAAAGGATGCAAATGACCAGCTGTCTGCAAGGTGTATAAATCCTTCCATTCCACACTATCCAATCAGAGCTGAAGAAGCTTCTTGGGTGAGAAGCAAAATGTCTTCAAAAGAAAAAAAACAAGGCAGTCCAGTTGCCTCTTGAAAAAGCACCTTTGGGAACAACCGTGACTTGGATAGACTGAGAATCTCCATAGACATTTTAGCATCTGGGATGTAATAGGAACAAGCCATTGTGATTCCCTCAAACTGGTTTTAGGACTTGGTGTGTTGTGTGGACCTAACCAAAAACAGACAGAAAGGGGAAGAAGAAGAAGAAAAAAGAGGGTCATAAGAGTGGAAAAAATAATGTCTGCAAGCCGGAAGCACCAATTTTACCAGCTTGCCTTTTGGGGAATAGATAGCTTAGAACTGTCGTAATACAGGTAGTCCTCGACTTACATTATGCTGTGCTAGCATAACCCATTTGACTGAATTGGGTTTGGGATGGTCCGTTTTTCCTGTTACGTGAAGTTAGGCCATTGCATTCCTGTAAGCCAGAATAGAGCTCAGTCGGGTTTCTCAACCTCGGCAACTTTTAAGACAGGGGTCTCCAAACTTGGGAACTTTAAGACTTGTGGACTTCAACTCCCATGGCTGGCTGGGGAATTCTGGGAGTTGGAAGTCCACAAGTCTTAAAAGTTCCCAGGTTTGGACACCCCTGTCTTAAGATGTGTGGGCTTCAATTTCCCAGAAGCTAGTCAAGGCATTCTGGGAATTAAAATCCACACAGTCTTAATGCTGCTGAGGTTGAGAAATGCCAGAAGAAAGCAACAATGCTTTCTGGTGGATTTAAAGTTTGAAGTATGCTGGGTAAACCCAGCCTAAGACCATGGGGGAGGAGGAAAGGAAAACGGGATAAGGAGGAGGAAAGAAGGGATGTATGGATAGTAGGATTGTTTTCTTGCCCTGGATTTAGCCTCTTCTCTTCTCCCCAGACGCATTGTGCTGACAACCTGCTCAAGGCTGACACCTACCGCAAGTGGAAGGCTGCCCAGGCTGGGGAAAAGCAAGTTTCAGTCATATTACAAGTGAGTTTCTGCTAATCCCTTGGTAAGATCAGTCCCCAACACTTTCTGCAGTTGTTGTAATATTTGCAGTATGATAACTTGCTATAAGCATATTTATAGTATAAGAGATGTGGGCGTATCAATTATAGTTCTTCAAGCCCAAGCGATAGATAGATAGATAGATAGATAGATAGATAGATAGATAGATAGATAGATAGATAGATAGATAGATAGATAGATAGATAGANACCAAAGGTGGTTCCTATTTTTCTACTTGCATTTCTACATGCTTTCGAACTGCTAGGTTGGCAGAAGCTGGGACAAGTCACGGGAGCTCACTCCTTTACGCAGAGTTAGGGATTCAAACCGACGAACGGCCGACTTTTCTGATCGGCAAGCTCAGCATCTTAGCCACTGAGCCACCACGTCCCTTCTAATGTCCATCCTATATGAGTAAGTAGATATGTATTGATAAATCAACATATTGGGAAGACCTTCTCCAACATTTTAGTGATAAGGTTGCCCAGTTGAAAATAGTTTGGTAGCTACTGTTCTATGTGCTCTTCTGGGAACTTAGATCTCTTAACTCCCTCTGCTGGTTCAAAACAAGTCTTGAGATCTCCTCTGTCTTTTACTTACCCATGTAATTTATTCCTACAAAGGTAAGGCAGGTATCTTCACTCTCTCCACAGGTGACGCTCATGCCAGTGCAGTCTTTACCTGGACCTTTGCATGTTTCACATATCAAACAGGAACCTGAAAAAAACAGCACAGATGAGATGTGGCTTATTCGGTAAGCTATGATGGGGAAACTAGGTTTCACTGAATACGTCTCATGGTGCAGAGTAGCATTTCTTAAATTTGTGCTCTTAGGATTCCCCCGTCTCAGTTTTAAAAATGATGGAAATGCAAAGAGCCTTTGAGTGCGTGGGTTACCTTTATCAATATTTACTATATGAAAATGGATTCATTTTTAGAGTATTTATTGAATCATATAAAAGCAGCAATATTAAACCCATTAGATTTTTTTTCATGAATAAAAGCAGCAATATTAAACCCATTAGATTTTTTTTCATGAAAAAAATGATATTTTTAAACAAAAAAAGAAAGAAAAGAGAGACTTTGTTTTAAATTTTTGCCAATATCTTCCCTACTTAGTAAATAATTTTGATTTTGGAGACCCCCAAGATGAGTTTGAGCGGCCCTCGGGGTTCATCGGATCACACTTTAAGAAACACCAATGTGAAGAAACCGTAGCTGAGAGTTTCATCAAAATGAGAAGATGTGGGAAAACCAACAAGAGTTCCTGGCCCTCATCAGACAGACAGACAGGCTGTCTGTCTTTGGTAGCCCCTCTTGAGTCCACACTCAGAATAACACAGCTGGAAGGGGACCTTGGAGGTCTTCTAGTCCAACCCCTTGCTCAAGCAGGAGACTATACCATTTCAGACAAATGGTTGTCCAATCTCTTCTTTAAAACTTCTAGTATTGGAGCACCCACAATTTATGGAGGCAACCAGTTCCACTGATTAATTGTTTTTACTGTCAGGAAATTTCTCCTTGGTTCTAGATTGCTCCTCTCTTTGATTAGTTTCCATAGTTTCTTGCCTTGTCTTCTGGTACTTTGGAAAATAGGTTGACCCTCATCTTCTAACCTATGGCCTCTCGAGCAAGGTAAAAATGTTCAAGGATACAAGCACATCTCCAAGAATGGATGCATCCACCTTGCTTTTACTCTAGCTGTAAAGCGGAAAGACTACAATGCCCTTAACTAGCTCAAAGCAAACTTACCTTGAGTTAGGAGTGTGGCCAGAAGGAAGCTGAGGATGGACAAAGATGCCATGTTGGTGAATCCTGTAATCTGCAGATCCATTGATTCTGAGGTGGGCGCCTCACGAGCCGGGGCATTTATACTGGACCAGTTACATAAGGGTGAGGGAGTGATAAACAGGATTGGCTTGAGAGGCACTTAAAACCTGGGCAGCCCCCCCCCACCCGGTCAACTCTCTTCACAGGTGATTTCTTTATCTGCTAATGGCCTCAAGAGGCCCCTTTGGGTGCCAGGTGGCTGTACTCCCCCCCCCCCGCCAAAAACCAACTTCATTTTCTGAAATGTCTCTTGTGCTTGGCAAGAGAGGGAGCCTAAGTGTTGCATTTCAATTCACAGAATATAAAAAGGAAAGCCAGAGCAAAGAGGAATGCTTCCTTATCTAAAAATCTAAAAGCCACTTCACATTTTGTCCAGAACAAATGACTCCATTTGCATTGGGACCAATTCCTGGTCATCTACATTTTCACTCTGGCAACGGGAAGGGGTAGGTGGATGGGATGTGGACAGCCACCTGGATGCCAAGATTGCAATCATACAGAACAACTTCTTCAGATTGCCTTTCTTTCCAAGAGTAACAAAATGTGTGCTTGTGTGCTTGTGTAAGGGGGTGGAGGTTCATTGTGAATCTGGGGGCAAGCAGAATTCTTATTTCCAGGTGCTGAGAGCTTTCCTTGAAGGGTTTAGGTTTCAAGATCTTGGCCACTATTTTGCATCCTGATGATTGGATAATCTTAGGGCTGTGGCTACGGTTATTCCCAGTTAGAAATGGCCAGTATAACCACTGCACAGTCCCTTGAAATTGTCATTTTTGCACGGGGTGAAGAGGTCTACAAAGAACTTCTGGGTATATAAATCTTTAAGGTAAAGGTAAAGGTTCCCATCGCGCATATGTGCTAGTCATTCCCAACTGTAGGGGGCCGTGCTCATCTCTGTTTCAAAGCCAAAGAGCCAGCGCTGTCAGAAGACGTCTCCGTGGTCATGTGGCCGACATGACAAAACACTGAAGGAGCAGGAAACGCTGTTACCTTCCCACCAAAGCAGTCCCTATTTTTCTACTTGCATTT